TCTCATGTGGCCGTAATATATTTATTTTACATTTTTAACATTCCTTTCTCACAAATTAAAAATTTATTGAAAAGTGGCAAATTGATTAATTTTTTTTACTTTACTTTTTTATCATTACTTTTTTTTGCTTACCTTTTACTCATTCGCGCAGTCGTACAGTAATTCATTTCAACTTTCATCCTAATACACAACTTTCTAACTATTACTTTGATCTAAAAAATTGCTAAAATAGCGTAGAATCTTTTTTATACCAATCAGTTTTGATTAGATTGAAATGTGTGAAAAGAAGTGTCCCCTTTGCTTGTTGCTAGCAATTATGGCTCTCAGAAATGACATTTTTAGAAATAGCGTCTATGAATACATTTAAAGAGAATAATTTCAGGAAGTTATAAGGAATATGGTAGTAACATTTTAATATTATCACATGATATTGTTTTTACTTGAAGTTTCAAGTACACCATCTTGGTGTTTTTTTTCAAACTTTGTTTGAATCAGATTTAAGATGAGTAATTTCATAATATTAAATCTGAATGTAATATTTGAAAAAAGATTTTATTTGATAGTGTTAAAAATTTTTACATAATAATAATAGGTTGGTTAAAATGATATCTATTTAGCAGCATCATCATATATCAGCTAACTTAATATGAATCAAATAATACAAACTCAATTAAAAATTATAATAGAGCTTTTTCTGCATTTTTAATCGACAGATTTATCATGATTTCGATTAAAAATTCAGATATAAAATTCAAAATGGATTATTTCAGCTTAAATGTACCGAAATTAACAGTCACAATTGACAGTTCAGCAAATGTGGACAGTAGTGATATAATCAGGCAAATGGTGAATAAAGCCAATTTTCTGGAAATTTTATCAACTGTTGTTGGCATATTAACACTATAACAATACGTGTCAGCTTTAGGGAATCGTTTTTACCAAGAAAAAAAAAATCGCCTTTTAAGCAAAAAATTATAAATTTATTTTAAACACTATGGCACAAAACGACGAACGTGATAGTCAAATGCAACTGATCTCAATAAGAGATGAATGTGTTTCAAATGTCGCCACATCAACGAGGTTAGTTTACTAATGCCTTTAAATACATACATATTACTTCAAAATTCAAATATTTGCTGCTTTTGTTTATGTTCTCTATGAAATACACTTTTTTAGCTTTGGAGTACTTTTAAATTTGTGAAATATTGTTTTGAGACTTTTATGTTTAAAAAAATGGCTACAAAAAGCTAATCGTCATTTCTTCGCATCATTTTTCGTCTATATATCACTTTTTTGACTGAACTTTGAACCGATATCTTCTGAATTGTTGCACTTTCTGTTGATACATTATTTAAATGTTTATAGAGTTATTGAAAGTTCGGTTTTTTGAAATTTATTTAAAAAACCGTAATATTTTTGGAGATCATTCGTTTAAATCGGTTGTTAACGAAAGCAACAGTCGTTATTTCTCACACAGTTGTTTTAATCGACAGTAATGATTTTGCGTGTTTAAAATTTTACGTGCTGTAATTTATGACATAATCCATGATTTTCAGTAATCCTTCCAATCAGTGATTTGATCATTACAATTCGTATTTTACTGTATAATCTTTTCTGTGAAATAAAATTAGCTAATTGAAAGTTAATACAATTTGCAGCATTCAATAGATCATTATTATTATCGTTTGTTGATTCGCAGTTAGACAAAAACCCATACATAATTTTTTTTTGATATCGTTTAGATTTTGGATTTTGGTCAAGACAATATTTTTGTTAAAGCTTTTATTCTTGCTTCTAAATTGTTATAATAAAGTGTAAATGATGAATTAAGGATTAACGATAATTTGATTTGATTAGTCGAATTTGAATCAAAAGTTCGTTTAATATTCGACTACAGTATTGACAGTGCAATGAAAATGGCAAATTTATTCGACTATTCTTACTTTGCCCACTGTTTTATTATTTTATTAATTAGATATTTTTGTCGCATTTTTTTTAAATTATGATGTCCAGATCAATCAGCATAAATAAAGGAATTTATCTATCAAAATGCGATTTGATATGCTAACAACTAGCAATTTATACAGCTTTGGGAAGTTCGTAATTAACTCATTAAAAACAAACTAAATTAAAGTTACCACAGCAAGCATATTTTTAAAAATATATGCTGATGCTTTTCTAACAAAACAAATTTTCTTGTATATTAGTGTTTTTTTAATCAGTTATTACATATTTTTAAACCGTTCATAAAATTTATCGCAATAAATTGTTCAGCTATTAATAAGTGAGCAAAGCGTTGATGAGGATTGTTAATTTGTATAAGATTATAATGAACATATTAATCATGAGTAATAATAAGATCATTAAAAATTCTCACGATTTCCTTTTTTTTTATTTTGATCTGTTATTTATTTATTTTTCAATAATTGTGATTAAAATGTTTATTTTCAAATTTTTAGTCATTTTATTTACTTATTTGATCAAACGATTGAACTGTCCTTAGAAGTCTTTTGTTGTGATGTTGATTTAAATTTTTTCTCATTTATTTACTTTCAGTTTTTATTATAGACGTTTTCAGCAAACATTAGAAAATTCTAAGATGGAATACGGAATTAATCATGAGTTAAGGTAAAGAATAGAAGCAAGGAAGAAGATAATTTTATTGTTTAAAATTTAGTCATAAATTTATTTATGGTGTAATATTTGGAGTTTGAATATATCTCATCGTTTTTGTAATGAAAAGTGAACAAACACTGTAATGACAATTTTTCTCAAAAACTGTGCTATCCCATATCGAAAATTAAGTTCAGAAGGAAACTGTCTAAACAGTGACAGTAATGTTCAGTGAATCTTCTCATTTTTGAGATGATTACTTGCAGTGAATCTCCTCAATCATTGCAAACTAGACCTTCGCAGTATGCTGAAGCTAACGATGTCCATTATGCACCCAGAATAACTTACAAAACTGCTGGAGGCAAACCATTACTTCAGGTAAATCTCATGCATATTTATCATGAAAAAAGCAATGCAAAGTTTATTTTGGTTTTCGCTGAAATTAACTTTTTTAGTAATTAGTGCAGTTGGATTGTAAGTAAGTAGTATTGTCTTTATCGTATTGTACAACAAAAATCTATTTTAATATTTTTTTAAAAATTTTTGTGAAATAAAAAATTAGAGCTCACAAGAGCATTGAATAATCTGGGAATATTTGAAATGATTTATCTAAGCAATCAATTTTAGTAGATAATACAATTCATAATTTTTACTGCTTACGAGACACTATCATTTAAAGTTATTATTTATGGACTTATTGTGAGAGTAGATATTTTCAGTGGTATAATTTTTGTTCATGAAGATTTTTTCCCTCTTTAGTTTCTCACATTATTTAATTTTAATACTATATAAAATGGATTTTAATTTATGCACGAATTTTATGTTTTCAAACTAACTAAAATTTTTTAATAATTTAAAAAACATTTAGTAAAAAACCTAACAATTTATAAAATAATCTAAACATTTTATAGACTGTTATTAAATAGTTTGAAAAAATCAAAGATAAAATTTTAACCTCTGGATAATCTTCTTATTCTTTGAATTACATTCTAAATTTTTTAGTCTTATTCTGTTATGCTGCAAAATTTCGAACTAAATAAGCTTGTAAACTAATTATATAGTTTGGTTGTATAAGTTTATGCTACAATCATACGTTTATTCCACTTCAGTAGCATTACAGACATATAAATTGTTATTCCAAAAATTTTTTTGCCTAATGGATAGAAATGTCATTTTATCACAAAAGCACTAATCAATTTGCAGAGCAACAAGATAAAATCAAGTCATCGAAATTGTCACATCAGATCTCTCATTATCAATAGTAACTTGATTAAACTTTCTTAGATTGCATTTAAATTATTTTTTCACGCATTATTTTGACATGTGATAAGAATACAGATATTTCTATTTTTAAGTTATAAGTGTTGGACCATGTATATCAAAATACAGCAAAATTAATAGTCCTTATTAAATTGACAAGAAATCAAAAATGTTGTAATTTACACTTGAACTAAAATTTAAATCTTATTTAGTAAATTTTGAATGTGTTATGTTATGTTTTTAAATCTGTAAATAGTGTATTTAATGAATTTTCAAGATTTTATTTAAAGCCGTGTGAAAGAGATTTTATGCACTTAATAGTGTATTAAAAAATTGTCAAGTTTTGATATTACTTTCGTTTACTTAATGATTTGTTACTCTTTATTTTACCATTTTATAATATTGCAGTTTTAGTTGAAAAAAAGAAACTTATTTTGAGGTTTTAGTGGTGGAGACGAAGGACATCGCTCGAAAAGTTTTTTATTTTGCTTACATTTCTTATGGCTGCAACTATTGTCATATTATTTACATTATTTTTACGGCTAAATGCTAATCTTGCTAGTAAGTTTAGTTTGCTAATTTTTTCAATAGTGAAACTTTATGGTTAAATTTTCTTTATGTTTCATTAATTTATGTATTATTAGAAACTTTTACTGATTTATTTATAGTTTATACTAAACTTTTTATAACTATCTAAAGAAAAATTTTTTCATTTTTTCATGTTTTTCAATCACATCTGAAAGATTTATTGTTGTGCAAAATGATTGAATATTTACTGATGTGATATTATAGGTTTGAAGAAGAAAGAATTGAGTGATGTAGAAGAAGTAATGCTAAAGAATACAACAGTTGCTGAAAAAGAGATTGAAAAACGGGTATGCTTAACAAAAGGATGCATTCAAGCTGCTAACAATCTTGTAAGTTTATCACAAATCTTCAAAATTAATTTTTGAATGCAATTTATGGTTTATGATGATATTTTATAATTTTTCACGTTTGCTTTGATATTCATTCAAATACTTATCTTGACAGTTTGTCAGTTACCATTATAATTGACAAGTAAATTGTATGGTAAAATTTAAGATACAAATTATCTTTGCATCAGTATTATTTATGCAAGTTTTTCAATGCATCAATTTTTACTTAAGTTAATGGCAATGAATTTGTCGGTTGATCCATGCGAAAATTTTTTTGAATATGCTTGTGGTCGATGGAATCATGATCATCCTATCCCAGATGATATGTTTGCATATGGAACTTTTGCATCTGTAAGAGAGAATGTTCGACTACAAATGAAAGGTATGAAAATATTATTGGTTTTTAATCTCTTTTTGTAAAAGATAAAATACTATTTTGTCTGTATTTTATGATATAAAAAATTGGAATTGAAAACTCTGCTAATTTTGTAAATAATTACTGCTATTCATAAAGAATTAAACAGCATTAAACAAAGAAAAAATATTTCTCAGATAATTCAATGGATTCTTTTGTGCAAGAAGTGTTTGTAGTTTTAATGAAATTTTTAGTTTTGTTGGAGTCTGATACACCAGTAGCATCGAAATCCATTGCAATGGCACGAATTGCTTATCAAACTTGCATGAACACTAGTAAACTTGAATCTATCAAATCATCGTATGCTTTTTTTCATGCTTCCTGAAGCATTGAAATTTAAAGTTTGGTAAAGCATATCATTCATTTAGAATATATATATATATTAAATGAATGATATACTTTATTAGACTTTCAAAATCTTTTAATTACATTCCTATTTTTGGATAGTTATAAAGCAGTGTTTGTCAGGAATAAACTTAATTTTCTTAAGTTTTTCTTACCACTTTATCATTATTATGACGTGAGAATGATTTAGTGTATCATAAATATTCTAATAATGTGATTGAAATTTAAATAATATTGTAAGCGAAATTTTAATTAATGTAATTCTATGCAAAAGTTAATGCATCAAAAATGCAACTTTAGGCAGTTACTACATGCATTACAACAACTGGGCAAATGGCCATTATTGAATGGCAAGGATGATTGGGATGAAAAGTCGTTTAATTTTACTTCTGTTTTGGCTTCATCTCGTCGAAGTTTTGGAAATGAAATTTTTTTTCAAGTTTACGTGTACGCGGATGCAAAAAACACGACAAGAAATACTTTATATGTTTGATTTTAGTTGTTTTTCAGATTATAAATTATTTATATTCCAAATGACATAACTGTCAAGAATATTTGGCGTATAATTTGTCATTAAAATTGAATTCATGATAATTTATATTAATCCATTATTAAACACTTGGAGTAATTAATTTCAGATGGATCAGGGAATGCTTGGTTTAGGTCGTGGCTCTCGTGATTATTACCTTAACACAACAATGTTTTCCAAGCATTTAGATGCTTACAGAAAATACCAACTTGATGTTATGAAGTTACTTTTAGCTGATGCTAATATTACTTATGAATTACCGCAATTAATTCGTCAGCTCGATGACATTATCAATTTTGAAAAGAAATTTGCCCAAGTAAATTCTATCAATTAAACAGAGAAAATTATTGCCAACAATATTATGAGCTATAGTAAATATAAGTGGAAAAAGTATTCTTATAATTAAAAAAGTATTTAATAATTATAAAATATTTCAAAACAGTATGCCGAATAAAGTACAGAATAACTTTTGTAAAATATAACTTATTTCGTTAAAAATTCCTGTTATTAGTATTTAAATTATTTGTCCATTGTAATTTATATGAACAGAAGAAACTGAATGTCTTAAGTTCATTTAACTTTGTTAGTCTTACTAATATTTCAAAAGCTTTTATGTCATGAATACAATAAGAAATGCGTATATTAACAGTATAATATGTATAGTAGCAGTGCTTCATTTTTTGGCTAATAACTTTATGTCAATATCACCACACTTCAGATTATCATACCAGAAGATGATCGACGTAATAGCACACGTCTGTATAACAAAAAAATAATTGCAGATTTATATACTTTATTACCTGAGGTTTGTTAGTTCTTTCTACGTTTTTATCTGTCATTTAAATTTTTCTTGTCACATTTATCGAACTTACGTCTAAACTTTTTTTCTATCATTTTTTTTCAACCTGAATATTTATGTCTTTTTTATACTTCTTTTTTTAAATGTATGTGATATAAATGAATTTTTATCATAATGTTTTTTTCTACCAAATATTTTATATGTATATTTTCAAAATTTTTACATCAGAAAATAAATAAGGAGAGTATTTCCAAACACATGCTAAATATTTCATATTTTTCAGGTAGAATGGCTAAGTTACTTCTACCAAATCACACCAAAATCAATTCATGATTCGATTAGTAATAATACACAAATAATTGTTGGTGAGGTGGAATATCTATACAGTGTTACTGAGCTTATTAATAACAATAGCAATGGTCTCTTGGCAAATTATATACTTTGGCGTATAATACATTCATGGGTCAAAATATTGGATGGAAGATTCGAAGACATCAAACAGGTATTCCACGCATAGAGAAAGAAGTATATCTACTGAATGTGTTATATGAGTGATCTTAATTCCTCATAAAATGTTACAAATAATAATAGTTCAGTTTTTTTAAATTTTACATTTGATAAGGACTGGAGTGCAGTAATATAATAAGTAAAATAATGTAAGATTAATTCATTATAAATATAATTCGAACAAACGATTTATTAAAAAAAAAAAACTTTATTTATGGAAACTTTAATTTCACAAATATTTTTTGCTTAAAACTTTGCAGAAGACAACAAAGTGAGAATAAAATATCAGAATTATAAACAAGTAGGCTTTGGAGACGATGGTCTTTGCATACTTAATTAGCTGTTTTAAATATTGCTACTGCAATTTTGCATCCAACCCTATTCAAATAATATCGAAAACGTGCACGTCGAAAATATTAAAATACAAAGATTATAAATGTAATTAAAAGATAGAAAAATTAGTTCTCAGTTCCAGTTCATTTAATTCATTAATGATTTATTATAGATAGAGATTGTAATAAATGTGGTACCTACTTACCTGTTGAGGTTAATGGAAGCATTAGTTCGAATACTATTAATGTTTGCATTTTATAAAGTATTTAAGATCTTAGTGAGTCAGAGCTGCTCAGCTGCAATGAATCAAAATCATCGAAAACCTATTTGATTCAGATATAAAATTGTGTGCAATTTTTTTTTCAATTCATTCAATAATAATAAGCAAAGAAGGACGCAAAATTTTTCATGGATTTGTTTTTCCATAATTAACGTTTAGTGATAAAATGACGTTTAATTATAAATATTGTATATGCATTGCATTAAAATAAAAAATAATGATAACTTCGAGCGTGAAGAAAATTAATGAAAATAATAAGCAAACAATTTGTTTATTTTGAGACTAATTTTACCAAGCATTAATTGAAATAATAATTACTACAGGATTTTATGAGGGTAATGACGGGACAACAAACAAAATCACCACGTTGGAAAGAGTGTGCGCAAGGAACAATAAGTTTATTACCATTAGCTGGGGGAGCACTTTACGTCCGACAGCATTTTGATTTTACAGATAAACAAGAAGCACTAGTTAGTCTTTGGATCAAGAATTTTACATTTTCAAATATTGTTAGAAATATATTCTACAACAAGATTGTTATTCAGAAAGCAACTAGTCACATTTTAATTTTCAAAGTTTCACTTTCACCATAAAAATAATTGTGGTAATTTTTTCAGTAAGACTCCAAATTTCATTGTTATTGTAGCGCATTAAATGCTTGCAGTAAATAACTTTGATGCATGTCTTGCTTTCTGCAAGCAGTTGACTAATATGTCACGTTTGAAAATGTATAAATTTATAGAATATGATTGAAAATCTTCAAAAAGCATTCAAAGAACTCGTTGACGAAAGTAATTGGATGGATAATGACACTAAAAAAGTGGCAGTTGAAAAGGTTTTGCTAGATAAAAAATTTCTGAAATGAGCAAAAGTATTAACTTTATGTTAATGTCAGTTAATAATGCAGCAATAATTTAAACCTCAATAGTAGAAAATTTCAATAATTAATATAATGAGAATAGGCGTGAAAATTCTAAACTATGTATCATTTATTATTTAGTATAAATATTTGGCAAAAAAAATTGTCTAAAAACACAATACAAAAAAGGATGGAAATTTCGCCTAACAATTTTATTTTAATGTAAACATAGGAACTTGCTGGTAACAAATATTGTGACAACTAACTTTTGTGCTGAAATTACATATAGATTCTATTTTGATTTGTATCTTGTAGTAATTTACATGTAATATAAGTAATATTATAAAAAGCAATTAAATATTTTGAAAAAACAAGAATTTTACTTCTTAAAATTAAAGTTTGCTTTCAGGCAGTAAGTATGATTAACAACATTGGCTATCCTGATTTTATCAATAACGATACTGCTCTCGACAAACATTATGAAAAAGTATGGTTAGAAGAAAAATGAAATGATTTTCATTAAGTAGAAAAAATATCTATTATACATTTGTGTTCATCAACAAAGTACTATTAATAAGAATTCTTTTATCGTAGAACGAATTTATTTATAAATAGTTTTTTAATTTCTTAGCTTAGACAATGTTGAGAGTATATTACAAAATACGATTGTTATTCACAAAATAGTTATAGTTTAACTATAGCAAATTTTTTTGAAAAGCATTTCAGAATTCACTTTTTTCTTCTGATTGAACTTATTGATGTAATTATATTTTTCATGCTGGTAATTTTTAGAATACTTTTTTCGATCAGTAATCACTTTTCAGAACTTTATAATATTATAATCATTATTAATATAATGCATATTTTCAGTTACATTTTACGGCTGAAGACTCACATTTTGATTTGCTGAGGAAAGTGCTAATATGGTCACAAGAGAAGGAGTTTTTAAGAATCAAAGAATCATTTGACAAATATGAATTCGAAGTGAGCCCAGCTGTAGTCAATGCATTCTATTCACCAGAAAAAAATGCTTTAAGTATGTTAAATTTCAACTTCTGAAACTTCAAATTAATCATCTACTTCAGTAAAGAATTTGCATCACTTTTAAACTAGATTATACTCACAAAATGTTTGTTGTTAAAATTTTATCTTTGCATTATTTTATAGCTTTGATAAATGAAAAATGATGAAAATAAGTTCAAATTTCTGCTTGCTTTTTTGTAAGCTCAAAATTTCTATGACAATTTTTTTTTTAAATGTTTTTTTTTCAGCATTCCCTGCCGGAATACTTAAGCCACCATTTTTCAGTGGTTCTTATCCAAAGTTTGTTTTGTGATAATTTTAATTTACAGAAAAGCACTTTTTCATTCATCATTATCATCCATTATCATTCATCATTAAAACCTGTATATTGACGTTTTGAAAATCTGCTAAAAAGAGATTAAAAATTTGGATTTTTATTGCAAAGAAATTAGATCTTGAAATACTCATAAAATTTTGATGCAACTTTAGATTATTCATTGTTTGCTGTGAATAGTTTTTTCTTTTCAGGATGGTAAATTACGGTGCAATAGGTGCAGTAATTGGGCATGAAATCACTCATGGATTCGATGATCAAGGTCTAGAAAAGTCAAGCTATTTAATTATTTTTTATCTCACATTGTTTTATAATAATAATTATGAAAAGTTCCAGGAAGTCAGTATGACAAAGATGGTAATCTGCAGAACTGGTGGAATGAAGAATCTTACAAAGGATTCTCAGCACGCAAGGAATGTATCGTTGATCAGTATAATTCATACAAAGTACCAAATACAGATTACAAGGTTAATGACTTCACAGAATCATTTTTCAACAACAAATACTTTTTTTTTTTGAAAGGTTTGTCATCAGTTATTTTCACAACAAAATCTTTCGCTTTCTTTTTCTTGTTGTCCCCTGCATCATTGTGTTGGCTCTTTTTTCTAACTTTGTGAATAAATAAATAAACATTTGTAAATATATGTAATTTTAATTTTCGTTGTTTTATTCCCAAATCATTATTTTGAATATTTTTAGGTTAATGGAAAGCTTACTCAAGGAGAAAATATAGCTGATAATGGTGGTGTTAAAGAAGCATACAGGGTATCATATTTCCATCTGCATTTATCATGACTGTTTTGCTTCATTTCTAAAAAATTGAATAACTATTTATAAATGTTTTTCAACTAATACCAATTAATCAAAAGATAGCCATCATTATTTTTCTAACTTAAAATTTTTAAGACACATTTTGCCTACGATAAGGTTGTTTTGGGTTGCTTTATTGAAATGCGGAATAATTTAATTTTTTTCTCATTTATTGATTGTTGTACTCATAATAAGCATTTCACCGTGAAGTAATTTTTTTCACTTTTATCACTCGATGCAAATAAAAATTTAACTTCTGAAAATTTAGGCATACAGGAAGTATGTGAAACAATTAGGTCATGAAGAACCCTATTTACCAGGTTTTCAAAACTTTTCTAGCGATCAAGTGTTCTACTTGTCATACGCTCATGTATGTTTTTTTTCTAAAATGTGTACATTGTTACTTTATATTACGCTTGTGATAAATATGATTGTTTGCAGTTTTGGTGTGGTCATAAAAAAGAAGCAGCAGCATTACAGCAAGTTTTGACAGATGAACATAGTCCTGAAGTTTTTCGAGTTATCGGTGTATTGTCAAATTTACCGGAATTTAGCGAAGCTTATAACTGTATACCTGGCAGTCAATTAAATCCACCACAACGTTGTGCTGTTTGGTAAGCAGAAATAGTAATACTAACCGTAAATAAGCAGGATAAAACTACAAATAATTTGCTGACACCAGTTAGAATAAGTAAAATATCAATATGAAAATACATCATAAAAATGCTTGATTGTTAATACATTGTGAATAATTACTGCGTGATAAGAAAATAAAATATTTTTTCTGTTTTATCATGTTAAAATCATTACTATGAAAATAATAAACTGTTAAATAAAAATTTTGTTTATTTAAATAGTAATTCTATGTGATCTCGTTCAGTGTAATCTCATGCGACAAGTCAATTTTGCGAATTTTGCACTTATAAAAGTGGAATTGAGATTTTTTTTCTCCACTTAAAACTAAAAAAAATGTACATTATTATATTAAAATGACATTTCTGTCATGCTATGAAGAAATTTTGTAGTTAATATTTGTTGCTTAGAGATCTAATCGCAAGAGATGACTTAGATTTTTCTGAATGATATTTTTTGCTTCCTAGAAGCATTTGTGGCTTTTTCATCAGTTATTATTAACATTTAATTATGTAAAATTCCCAATTTTGATTTAAAATTTTTTTGTTTTTGAATTTCTGTTCTGTTGTCTGTATTTGGTGGAATATTTATAATTATTCAGTTTGTGACAGTGATTATGTGATCACAATATTTTTATGATGACAATGAATTAATATAAAAATTGTCGTCTAAATTAGTTTTTATCAATTTTTGTCAAAATAAACTGATTAATTTCTTGTGAAAACGTCTGATTTATTTCATCCAGCAATATTTGACTCTAAATATCTCAATTCTTTTAAACATTTGCCTCTCCAAAAACCCTATGTATCACTTTAGTGACCATTTTTTTAATTTATTTGATATTCGTTACAAATGATTTCAGAAACTTTATCACTTCTGATCATAAGTATCTGATAAAAATAACGAAAAAATAATAACTGATAAGTTATAATCATAATACTATAAAATATTATGCGTTTCCAAGAGTTTTTTCTAATTAGGCCTTCATGTGCTGTATCTGTTTTAAATATTCAAATTTAATAACCTCTGTTTCCCAGATAAAATAATCTGTAATTTTCTATCTTATTGATAACATGAAGGTTTACTACACGCAGTAGGAATATTGTATACTCCTTTTTGCTACCCGGGTTACATTTTTTTCTGCCCACTTTTCTGACAGTAATAATTTATTCTACATCTTTTTTTACTACTCTCTCACTCAAAAATCGATTAGTTTTGTTCATAAAATTTTCTGATTCAGTTTTGACAAACGTCAGGCTTTATACTATGTAGTCATAGAAGGTGTATTTTAATAAATTTGCAGTAATGGTAGATTCGCTCTTCTGTACACATAATGAATCGTGATTAGGTTAAAAACAGTACTTGAGTCTGCTTTGTAAGAAACGATAAAGAATGCTGAAAACTGCTGATTACATAGATCTACTATAGAGTTAATAATGATGCTGCCAAAGATCTCAGTACTAAATGATAGGTTGTGACTTGTATGACAAAGTTATAATAGTATTCAGGAATAAAAATAAATTTTAAGATTTGTTGACTCAATAATTGCTGCTATGAAATAATTTGGGAAATAGGAAGCATAGATATGCATATCAGGTATGAACATCATTCTGAAACTGAAGCAAAATGAAAATTTAAAATCACTTTTGGTCATAACAAAATGTGAAGTGCAGTGAAAAACAATTATAAAAATCATTTCTTAAATAAAGTTCACCAGATGTAGTGTGACAATGTTCACGCTGCGATTTTAAGTACAAATCAGAATAGTTGAGAATTTGAGTAGTAAAAGTGATTAAGCTAAGATGTTTATAGAAGGAAAAAATTTGCTACAATTTATTACAATTTTGGTTAAGAAATATGAAAGAACTATGTTAATTATCTATATAGAATTTGTTATGGTATTTTGAATAGAATTTAATTCCAGTATGAAGAATTTTCTAGTAACAATATTTGATGGTGACCTTTTCATTCTTCGAATGCATGTGAACATTTACAAGGAAACAATTGGACAAGAGTGAGCGACCTCTCATTAGAGGAGTCACATGGAGCGAAAGAAAAAGCAGCACAAGCAAGAATGGTCCCTCGCGTATTGTTTACCTATCTCATCCCTTCTCTCAGCAATTTATTGCATCGCAATCAAGACAGCAAATCATTCACTCACCTACCACATAGTGGTAAAAATTATTTTACTTTTTCAGTGATTACCTTAAAGTGGTCCAATTTACTCATTTACTTTTAAATATATGGATAATTGATGAAACCGATCAATTATATATATATAT